AAGGGGAAGCTAGCCAACAAAATGGATCGGCAATCCAGTTATCACTCTATTAGTCATGCAATCTATCTCGAAGAAGTCACTTGGCCTTTCATCAAACCGCAAAGAGAAAACACTAAAGGATCACCGCTTACGCTTCTAGCAAGGTCATCATTTCACACACACAGTTTCTTGACTCAAAAACATGCACGATTAGTAGATAGCTTAAATTTCATTCTAGGGATTTTGGTATAGCCGYGTGTGTAGGTACTTCAGTATTATACAAGAAATAGCAAATCTGCTCAAACTGTATGTGAGCTAAAGTGATTTTTAAATAAATTATTTATAAATACGAAACGTTTACGAAATTTAGCAAAATTGAAGTCCCAGAAGACTCATTGATAACTGTTGCGACTTAATRCGTGAAACTAAAACAAACTTTATAACAATCAGCTTTGTTATAGTCCACTGAACTCCAACTTTAGTACGCATAACACTTTTAATCTTAACACATCTTAACGTTTGGTTATATAATATATTGCTTCTTACCTTAATCCAAAGTGGAATTGATATACAACGGTTCTGAATAGAGATTGCCGAGCTCAATGTCATCCGGACCTCAATGTGGTACTGTTGTTGCCCTTTATTTAACAGCAGAGAAACTAGAATGAATTTGATTGAAGGCCAACTCGATTTCCCACTGAGAAGGCGGACCAACGCAAGGAAGTCCACGGACCACAATCACAAAGGAATGCTCGCTTATCGTAGATTGTGACCAAAATACTCAACATGATTTATATCCGCCGGATTGCTACTTTGTTATAAAAGCTAAAAATAGGTTTGAACGATTTGCGCCGATGACAATAACTATTTTCAGATGTTCTGATTTCAATCACGCTATGGTTTTGACATAGCTCTGTGTGCATAAAAAATAAATATTGAGAATAAGTAAAGATTCCAGGCAGCAAATAAAGACACCGGTCTTGTATAAATTGCATTTCATAATCTGATGGCGATCAGTTTATGTTAAAAAGACGCGTTTAAAAACAATTTATCTCACCATTGAGTGCGTGCATGCACACCATGCGTGTAAACAGCACATTAAGAGGAGATATAGATCAGTATTTGATTACCGGTTACACGGTTATAAAATGCAGCGACTTAATTTCTTTTTTAATTTTTTTTTCCACGTCGGCAGTTTAGCAATCCCAAGGGACCCATAATCCAGAGTTCCATGGTTCGATTCTCGACTC